TTCGGGACTCCAGGGAGATGAGAGATTATAGCAGAGATAACAAGGAGAGCCGTGATCCCAGAGATTCTCGGTCTACTCGTGATGCCCATGACTACAGGGACCGTGAAAGTCGAGATGCTCATCGAGCGGGTCGCGCAGGGACGAGGAGAGCGCTCCGACCCCAAGGCTCCCTTCAGCCCTGGAAGCGGAGTGCGTGGAAGCAGAGGACCCTCCGGCCGCCCGGCCGCAGCCCCCCGGATCCCCAGGGACCATCAAACGTTAGGACGTGCTGGGTGGCCAGGTTGGCTAATGCCAATGAGTGCGGACAAACCTGCCCGAATGGGCATCCTCTCCAAACCCCGCTTCCCGCCAGCTCAGCCCGCGCTTCCCTGGGCTGGTCGCCTGCGCTCCATTCAGTTCCTCCTCCCACTTCCTGCCCAGGGAGCCGGTGCCATTGGACTCTGTTCCAAGACCTTCACCTTCAGGGAGGCCCAGCCTTCCTCCGGTCCTCTCTTCTTACCTCTCAGCCCTCACTCATGTGCTCCACTGTCCGGCCACTCCACAGTCACCTGTTCTGAAGTTCAGGACACGTTACCATACTCCGGCGTTCCTTCATCCAAACCCCTCCTCCCAGTCTCCAGCAAGGAAACATACCCTGCCCAAGGTTAAAAAGGAACGTTTGTAACAAGTTAGAAGGCTACAGAAGAGGAGAAAGAAAGCAGGAGAGGAAGGCTATATATAGATATCAAATGACGGATTTAAAAATGGCTTTACACAGCAATAGGGAAGAGCAAAGAACATAAATGTAAAATGAGCAAGGACATAAACAGATAATTTGAATGATTCATTAACGTGTTCAATTTTACTGATAATTATAATAAAACAATAACCGTTGTAATGCTTTTTCTTACCTATTAAATTGACAACACTGTTTTGAGATAATGTCAAGCTTACAGAAAAGCAGCAAGAATAGTATAAAGAATTACTATATAATCTTCATCTAGATTCCCCAACTGTTAACATTTTACCTCATTTGCTCTCTCTCTCTCTCTCTCTCTCTCTCTCTCTCTCGGACTTCCCTTTATTCTTAGAGTTCAGAAGAACTCTGAGATTTTAACGTTTATATGTTGTTTTTTTAAGATGTGTCCTGGTCGGGGCCTTTTCCCCATTCATTTTGTTGCTCACTCAGTGGGCCCTTCAATCTTGAGACTTATCCTTCCATTCTAAGAATTTTTCTTATAATATTTGTTTACAATTTCCTTCCCTCATTTTTTTTTTTTTTTTTTTTTTTTTTTTGCTGGATGTGGGGCTTTCCTCTGATTTTCTTATCTTTCATAGTTTCCATATATCATTTTGTACCATTTTCTGAAGTTTTCATCAACTACCTTCTTCCTTTTCTTTTGAATATTTATTTTCAAACGTTGTATTCTCCAATAGCCAGAAGCCCTTTCTTGTTCTGATTGTTTATTTTGCAGCCTTTCTCCTTTCATGGGTAAGACATCTCCTCTCAGCTCTCTGTGGATATTAACTATGCTACTTTTGACGTTTTTGTTCTGCTGTTTGCTCTGTTACGCTCCCTCTTCTCCCCCCGACGTTAGAACTTTCCACAAACATCTGGCGATCCTTGGCTGTCTGTTGAGATTTCACCGTGAGGCACAAAAAGCTGGTTGATGGTTCTGTGTGCATGCGAGTGGCGTATCCACTGTGGAGTTTCTGGGAGGTGGCCAGGGAGCCAGCTACTAGTCAATCACTGAGCGGAGAATGAGTACCCGGTGTCTGAACCTGTGACCATCCTGTTTGTTCCGAGGAAGGATTCTTTCCTAACTAACTGCCAGTGCTCTGGGAGCTGGGTGGTGTGAGTAGCCCCACTCATGAGTGTGCAGAGATTCTGCACTTTTAAACCCCCTTTGCACACCCCCTCGACCTTACTGCCCACAATGACTCTCAAGGGTCACAAGCAACCTGTTTTAACATGAGGAAACATGAGGAGGGTTTCAGTCATGCATCTGCTAGCATGAACTCGTATCTGCTAGTTGGCTTTTTCTCTAGCCCTGACCTGGTACCAGCTGAATGGAGGAAATGGTAGTCTAATTGGTCAGGAAGTGGGGACAGGTGGGCCATTTGTGGTCAGGAGTCCCCCAGCAGGAGAGCAGTCCAGAGAATGGGGAGGGTGCTGTGCTGCAGGTGAGGGCACACGAATGCCAGGAGGGAGTGGGAAGATGGAAAAGGAAGCTGACTTACATTTAAATGGTACCCAGAGCCAGGGCTGTAGGTGGACAGCCAGAGGTGACTTGCTCTCTCCCTCCTGCCCTCAAAGGCCCAGCGCCCAGGGACAGTAGGGGCTCCATGGCGCCACGCAGTGAACCTGAGAACAAGGCACCCTGGGAAGATGGCTTCCAGGGAAAACACAAGCTCCAAACAAGCGCGTTATAAATGCTCTTTTGGACCAGGTCCTGCTTGCAAACTGAGGCTTGATTTGCCTGTAATGGGCCAGCTCCGGTAGTGCCAAGGGAGGGGGGCCATTAGCAGAAATACAAAGCAAGAAGTCATCCAGTCCATTAGGTTAAAAGAGGATTTTTCTCTCTTTTATTATTTATGATTTGTGACTTTGGTTGCTGTTTCCCGGAACAGTTACAATTTTCTTTCAACTCACTGGTGCACATAGATGCTTATCATCAATCACGCTGCAGATGGCTAAGCAGCGGCTCAGGCCTCTGGGGCCGCGGCCTTTTGCAGTTTTCTGCTATCTTGTCAGGCACGTTGTTTTCTGTGCTGACAGTCTCCAAAAGCTCCCGTCTGGTGCCTGCGTGAGGACCTATATATACACATATGAGTGTCTCTATATTTATCTTGCAAATGCATACAGTAAACTCACGAAATGAGCAAAAGCAGGCATCAGTTTTTTACTTTAAGATGGTCACTCCCCAAAAAACAGGCATGGGGGTCCCCAGGATCCTCCGCAGCACTTAGGACTCCTTGGGTGGGAGCTCAGACTGTTGGCTTAAGGGGAGGGAGAAAGGGCAGGTCAAGTGGCCCCTGTGACCTCTGGGGGTGCCGTGTCCCCTGGAGACTTCCCCAGCCACCGGGGAAGCACAGTTCCCAGGCTGAAGCTCCATCTGAAATTTTGAGTTTTTCTCCCATGTTCCCCTTTTTCAGTCTTCACGAAGGCGGGGGCGGGGAGGCCTTAACTGAGACACAGACGAAAGAGGAAGTGTCTCAGCACTAACCAAACGTAATAGAGAGCCCACTCAGTCAGTGACCTGGATGGAAAAACTGAAGACATCCTCTGCGTCCTCACAGACCTTCTGGGGGCTGGGGCAGCTGCTGCTCAGGAGCACCAAGCTTCCCTCTGGCCAGGTCTTTGCTGGGAGCTGAGAACAGATGGCTGCCTGCTACAGGCCTTCTGATGTGCCTGAGGCTACACGGGCCTCCTTGCCCCTGTGTGACCCGTCAGGCTTCTTTCTCACAACGTGGGGATGCCCAGGCTGTGTTCAATGCAGGTGCCATCTGAGGGGGCCACCCGAGGACCATGAGCCCCCCGCCTCCGATTCACGCTCCAAGTCAGTCAGCAACGCCCACTGAGCACCTGTGGGGTCCAGCTGGTGCTGACTCAGGGACAGGATGGAGGGGATGAAGACACGACAAGAGAGTGGCCGGTGACAGGACCAAGTGTGGTGCAGAGGAAACAGGAAAGAGAGCATCGCCAGAGTTGGCACTTTGACTAAAAAAAAAAATTATTTCTTGTGCAATGTAAAATACATTTCTGCTTCCCTGGCCGGTTTGGCTCAGTGGATAGAGCGTTGGCCCGCAGACTAAAGGGTCCTGGGTTCGATTCCGGTCAAGGGCAGGTACTTCAGTTGCAGGCTCAATCCTTGGGCCTGGGGGTGTGGGAGGGCACGTGTGGGTGGCAATCAATCAATGATTTTCTCTTACATTGATATTTCTCTGTCTCTCCCTGTCCCTTCCACTCTCTCTAAAAATCAATTGAGTTGAGGATTAACAAAAAACAAGTTGTTAGCAGTGCAGGTGTACCATCCCTTATCCACATATCCGAACCCCCAAAAACTCTGAAAAAGACATTTCTACTTGAGTCAATGCAATGAAGACTATTAGTAACACAGGCTTATAATAAAAAATCTGGAAGGACAGGAGAGTAGACAAAAGAACAAAATCACTCCTGGTCCTTCTGCCCAGAAATAACCTGTGTGACCAATGGCTGAACTTTTAGATATTGATGTGGGCCCATTTTTTACTTAACTGTGATCATATGGAACCTCAAAAATTGTACATACTGATTTTTCCATGTATTTCATTCCCTTGCCAGAAGGAACACTCTATATGAATGC